TATACATTTTTGTCCTTGACAAGTGATAATGGAAAGCCCTGCATTTGATTGACAGAAGTGAAATCCCTGAAGAGCTACTCCAGGAACCGCTTTGCCCGTGCTGTTTCCATGGAGATGGGAGGAGACCTGTACGCAGTGGACCTGGATCATGAATACAGACCCTCAGGGCCCAGAAACCTCAGCCTCAGGCAGAACACAGCAGACGAGGACGAGTTCAGCGGTGTGGGACCCACTGCAGTCAGCCAGACCAGCAACAGCCTGACTGTGCCCTCGTCTGTTAAAGTCACTCACAGGTGAGGAGTGAGTGTGTGTGCTTCAATAGAGACACATGACGGACAAAAGAGGGAGTATATGCATCAAAGAGAATGTGTGTGTGTGTGTGTGTGTGTGTGTGTGCTACTCCAGGAACCGCTTTGCCCATGCTGTTTCCATGGAGATGGGAGGAGACCTGTACGCAGTGGACCTGGATCATGAATACAGACCCTCAGGCCCCAGAAACCTCAGCCTCGGGCAGAACACAGTGGACGAGGACGAGTTCAGTGGTGTGGGACCCACTGCAGTCAGCCAGACCAGCAACAGCCTGACTGTGCCCTCCGCTATTAAAGTCACTCACAGGTGAGGAGTGAGAGTGTGTGTGCTTCAATAGAGACACATGACGGACAAAAGAGGGAGTATATGCAGCAAAGAGAATGTGTGTGTGTGTGTGTGTGTGTGTGTGTTTCAGATGTTTTTTTTTGGCCAATGATACAGTAAAATGTGACGTTGGTCTGTACAAATCGCTGCAAGCATGGAAGGACCACAAGCTCCACATCGACCACGAAGTATGACACACTTATGATTTGCTCACATGCATTTTGTTTCAAATCTGTATGAATTCTGTGGAATATAAAAGGGGATGTTTAGTAGAAAGTTGTGAACAAAAAGTAAACAATGACCAGCTGCAAGCTCAAAAAAGATTAAAAAAAAAACTCATGTATCATATTCCCAGTCTTCCAACTTTAATTCTGTACATTTATATTGCATAAGTTATATCGTTATGTACATTATCATTTCTTTTCCCAGATCGAAACACTCCAGACGAAGATTAAAAACCTTCGTGAGATCAGAGGTCACCTGAAAAAGGCTCGACCTGAAGCGTGCGACTGCAACAAATACTAGTGAGAGTCACATCTGTCTCTTATTATCTCTTTACTGGTGTTCTGTATTTGTCAAATTCATTCAGATTCATTCATATTTTTAATAATCATTAATTAAATTCCAATAAATTACATTAAACTATTATGATCCTTTAATTATTATAAATGTGTAATACTTAAATCAATAATGAATGTCTTAATGTAATGTATAATTCCATACAATAAATGAAATACATAATAAAATACATTTTATATTAAATATTAAGATATATATATTGAAATGAATTACATAAACATGTTATAAAATATAAATTGTAATATGTAATTAAATCGATACTGTATGTTACAGAAATGATTACTTATACAGTACCTTATATACATTATTTAATGCATTAATTATTTTATATATGCTGGTTATAATCCTATTTGGTGATGGCTCACTTAATTTTTCTTCTCTTTTAGTTACAAATCCAAGTACAAGAGTAAGCTGAGGAAATTCAAAGCAGGAGGTGTCCATCCCTTCAGGTGGGTTTTTGTGTCTGAGTGTATGTATACATATGTATGCATTATTATGGTTTTGATGATTCTCTCTGTCTCTGTAGGAAAGGACAGGAGAAGGATAAGAAGGCCTGGTTGTTGTTGGAACAAAAGCGCAGGAAGAAGCTGAGGAAGTTACTGAAGCGCCTGCGTAACAATGACACCTGCAGCATGCCTGGCCTCACCTGCTTTACACACGACAACCAGCACTGGCAGACCGCTCCATTCTGGACATGTAAGACACACACACACACTGTAAAAAATATTGCTTTTACAACTGCATGCAAAGAATTAAATGCATCTGGATCTGATGCATAAGGCAAACAGTTGAAGTAATGGGGTTCCCTGCACATTGAAAAAAGAAGCTAAAGAGAAGGCCAGATTTGTTCAAAAGTGACACCAAGCGTTCATATGTGACGAGCTATGAATGAGAATGTGTTGACTGCATTGATGTGTCTCACACGATTTCATCTTTGTTTCCAGTGGGGCCGTTTTGTGCGTGCACTAGTGCCAATAATAACACCTACTGGTGCATGAGGACCATTAATGAGACACACAACTTCCTGTTCTGTGAATTTGCCACTGGATTTCTGGAGTACTTTGACATCAACACGGATCCGTATCAGGTCAGTGATCATGCTGTATATAAAGACAACATGAAATCACCATGGACCATGTTTACTTTCCTAATAAATGGTCCTACCCATAGTGTACACTATTCATCAGTGCATTATTAAAAAAAAAAAAAAAAGCATAATCATTCTTCACAGTGTAATAACTTATTCTGCCTCTGAAAACAAGTTCTTAACCACGGCCACATGGACAGGGAAAAATAATATTGATCAAAAATATCATAGCCTGACATCAACCATCAAGTCAAATCTCGATGGATGACTTAGGTGTTTCTTCAACTATAGGCACATTTTGCCCTGTGGAAAATTAATAGGAAATTATTAATTATATTAATTAATAATTAATCGTTGATTATTAATTATTAAGAAGAAAAAGAAATTATTATTATTAACAGAAATAATTTCTTAAAACACACTTTTTTGACTAACAGTGTCCAACAGTGAACATACATTCATTTCATGGGAATTCTATATTTTTTTTTCTTCTTCTGTATTCTCATGAATATTTGAACCATAGAGTAATTTACACTACATCTCAGATTATTGTATCACAACATTCTTGTGAATGGCATTTTGAACTTTTAAAATGGCAAGCTCTTTTGTTTTGCCGAGGCTAATTTCACAGCCCATGTTTCACGTTTTCTAAACTAATAAATATTAATTAATATTTTCATAGGTTTTGCATAATTAAAAACAATTACAAATAAAATAATTCTGCTTATATATAGTATTTACTTTTTTTGTTGTTTGTTTGTTTCCTCCATATATCATGTGACATTTTCATCTTCTGTTGTCTACTGGTGTCACATTAGTCAACAAGAACACAAAACACTTTACTAGGGGCAAAACTGTTTGGTGTGGCAGAAATTACGGCACAATTTTTGAGAAATTTAAAAAAAAAAATTAAAGAAACCTTTTCGCAAAATAAGTATTGAAATGGTAACAGAAATAGGAAATTCAAATGCTTTTTTATACTGCAACAATATTTAGTCAAAAATGTCACCAAAAATGAATGTTATATTAATGTCTGTGTTATGTTGCATCTCTCTGTGTGTGTGTGTAGTTGGTGAATGCAGTGAACACACTGGACCGGTATGTTCTCAATCAGCTGCATGTACAGCTCATGGAGCTCAGGGGCTGTAAGGGGCACAAGCAGTGTAACCCTCGCACACGCAGCCTCGACTTCGGTGAGTCACACACACACTCGTATAGGTGAAAATACCTCCACAGCACACACACACATACTGTATGCATACACACAGCTGCATCATTCTTCTAGGCATCCAGCCCAGAGCTTGCAACACACTGACTGATACATGTGCCAGACACGCACACACACACATTTCCGTCTGAAAGGACCAAGGCAAAGGATAACATGGAATTTCACATCTTCATCATCATCATCCTCACCTGATCCCTGGCCTTGCCTTGCTTCCTGTCCTCCTTGTTTTATATGCAAACAGAAACTCGTACCGTCACCTCCTGAGCCGCTGTCCTGAAGGGTAAACGTGCCACACAGCATGCTGTCTGAGGATGTTATGTCCTTAGTTGTATCTGACATGTAGTCCTTGCTCTCAAAGTCATCAAACTCACACAGATGTGACTGAAATCCGTTTTTAGCAGAAGTGATCATTCCAGTGATAAAAACAGAAGAGGCACATTTATTGAGTCACTTATTGATTCACTCGAAATGAACTCAAGGACAGCTCGTGTTAAAGGAACTCACCGGTGCCTGCAATCTGATTACATTTCTCAAAAGGTCACATTAAAATGCAGGTGTAGAATGAAAACTTAAAATGTTTGTGGACAAAGGTGATTTATTTTAGCATGAACTGCTTGGTCAAAATCATAATAATAATAAAAAAAACAACAACAACAACAAACCAAAACGAATAATAATAAAATACAAATAAAAATGCATGGAAAGGTTGATTTTTTTTTTCTTTTTTTAAATACACATCTGTTCATATGGTTGGGGTTGACAAGATATTTAATGGGTTTGAAAGAAGTTTATTATTACAGTTTAAAATAAAAGTTTTGTATTTTGAAATGTAATTTATTCCTGTGATGGCAGAGCTGTATTTTCAGCTGCCAAGATTTAATTTAATTTAATTTAATTTAATTTAATTTAATTTAATTTAATTTAATTTATTTTAATTTAATTTAATTTAATTTAATTTAATTTAATTTAATTTAATTTAATTTAATTTAATTTAATTTAATTTAATTTAATTTAATTTAATTTAATTTAATTTAATTTAATTTAATTTAATTTAATTTAATTTAATTTAATTTAATTTAATTTAATTTAATTTAATTTAATTTAATTTAATTTAATTTAATTTAATTTAATTTAATTTAATTTAATTTAATTTAATTTAATTTAATTTAATTTTTTTCAATCAAAAAAACTTGCTGGCTCCAAATGTTTGAAGAGTAGTGCATCAACAGCAAAAAATATCCTTTTTTTGTTGTTGTTGTAGTCAAGCTCATATTTTCTTATGTATTAAATAGTTTCGCCACATATTGTATATTTTATTGTAATATTGTAAATATTTCTTAGACACTTGATCTTTGATATTAACAAGCATGGGAATTGCTTTTTCTTCCTTCTGAAAGTTGATCAAACTTTATTGTTAGTTGCAGTTTGTTATTTACATTTAGCATTGTTTGACTTTGACGCAGTTTTACAGAACAGATTGAGCTTGCAATAAAAAGTCGATTGAGGTTTTATTGTGCATGAAAGTCATCTGAAAGGGATCAGGATAGCAGTTTATCAGCTTAAGATGAACATTAATATTCTGCATCTGCATATTGAGACTGCAGATTCATAATTTTCCAAAAGATGACTTTTAATCAAGCTCATTTATTCCGACCATTGCAACTCCATCCACAACAATGGATGATCTTATCTTGGCACTGCGACCTTCCACATGACCCTTGGACAGAAGCCCAGAGTTGTTTTTCCAGTGATGCTTCCGTGAGGATCTTAAACATTAATGGGGCTGTACGTCATATTGTTTTTACACTCTCTAACTAATGATATTGTCTCTTCTTCAGGGGGTAAAGAGAGAAGCAGCTATGATGAATACAGGTATCACTGCCAAATGAATTTAACCCCGTTGTAGACTAGAAGGCTACTGTGAGAGTATTTTGGATGAAGATACTAATCCACTTCTGCAGTTCTGTTGTAGACAGCTTGGAGCTTAAATGAATGTTGAATAGTCTGATGCACATCACACACACCTAAAGGCATCACAGGAATTCACTCCTCAATGTGAAATCAAGGAGAAGACATTCTGTCATAGAGGATGACGTAGAGACTAGAACCGATTTGATGTCAGTTTGCTGTTAAAGGAATGTTTCAGGTTAAATAAAAGTTCTACTCTATAGTCATAATAATGACTCATTCTTCAGTTTGTAAAAATGAAAATCTAGTATACTATAATGCAGCGGTTCCCAACCCTGGTCCTGGAGGCACCCCAACACTGCACATTTTGCATGTTTCCTTTCTCTGACACACCAATTTCAGGTCTTGAAGTCTCTACTAATGAGCTGATGACCTGAATCAGGTG